TTCTGAGCCTCCGTCACTCTCCCAATCCTAACGTAGGTGTCTGCATACTGTAACTTGAAACAAAGGTGTAAGTACTGTAGGGAGACTGAGTTAAGATACAGCCCCTGTAGCAGTTCCTATTTTTTTATTGTGTTTTTCATTTTTTTATCGTTCACTTCAAATAGGGAAACTGGCGAGGTGGGATTAATCCTCCCTGCCTCGCTCTTGTCTTGTGTATATTTATGGGATGGGAGGTAATTTAAAAAGAGGATGTACAAGAGCTGTTGTGGAGTAGCACCAGGGGACCTCTGTCATCCGTCTTGGCAGAATGACTGGGCTGGCATGCCAGAGGCCGAGCTAATTGGTTCATTTCACTTTGTAATTTAGCAAAACACTGCTGTTGAACCAAAACCACGCATCTGCAAACAGGGAGTATTTCAGGAATAAAAAGATGCCTGTGAGGTTTTTTAGAACAGATCCAACAAGCTCCCAGCAGCCCCATGGGTTAAGGAAAAATTTTCTGAAGACAGAATTAAAATCTTGCAGGTTTGCAGGTTTTGTTTTTTTATTTTAATTTCAACAGCAGCTGGGGGGGGAAGGAAAACTCCTGTTTGCCGCTGCTGTGCGTGGAGCAGCAGCCTGGGTCTGTAAATAGTACCGTGATAACAAATAGTGCTAGCCTAATCTCTCAAACCAGGGTTTTTCCTTTGTCGAGTGTAACTCTGCTGTAGATTTTGGTGTCAATACAATGTTTATGTATGTAGAGCAAAAACATTTAAAAACAAAGAAAAAGAAATCTTTTAAGTGTCACTGAGGAAAAAAAATACAACCACGTGAACGTGTCTGGTATATAAAAAACATGCTTTACATGATGATAATGTTGTTAGCCTTAGCTCTTAACAGTGTTTAATCCACCTGTGATGGCCATCGGTGCATATTTCAAATGTGTTTTTGCTGTTTAGAGGTAGATACATAACAATTAAGTGTTCGCTGTGTTTTTACGTGTTCGCCACATTGTGTAAATATGTCTGTTTGGTCCGAGATGATGATGATGATGATGACGTCCAGACAGTTTTTGGTCAGACTCTTACCCTGTCCCCCTCTACAGATAGTTTTAGTCTCACTCGGCGTAACGACAGGCCAATGCAATATTTATGTAAGTAATAAGTCTATTTGCATTTATATGGATTCATCTTTTTTGTGCTCAGTAACTGTATGTCTGTCATCAGGGTGGGAAATGTTTGTGTTGTCTCGCTTTTAGTGCACAGAGCACCATGTTTGTATTTAAAGACATCATTCTCCTTTCACAAAAACTCCATGAGGTGGTTTTGTTTTAACTAGCAAAGACTTGGGCTTGTAAAAAAAAAAAAATTATATATATATATATATACATATATATATCGCTTGGGAATTTTTTGTTTTGTTTTGTTTTTTCCCAGCCCGATCGGCTCAAACACTGGCCTTGTTGGCGTGACTGTCGCATGTCTGAGCTGCCGTCTCACTGATCACCCTTCTCCTCACTGTTTATTGTAAAGTGATAGATTAGGCTTCACCTAGTTATGCACCTGTTTTTTAAACACTAATATATTTTATTTGTTATACAGCACATAAACATTAAACTTTATTTTTTTGAACTCTATTGTGTGGCGAGTTCTGTGATCAATGTCGTCCAAATCCGGTTTGAACCTGATCGTGAAAGGTATGCCTGCATCTGTGGGATGGTCCTGGGACTTCACTATTATAACTGATCGTCTGCCCATTTGCCAGAGACTTGCTGAATTCCCTTGAAAAAAAAACTGATGTTGGCCCAAAACTTGAGCTTATTGTCAGCCATAATACTCAAAGTATATCACAATGCCTCCGTTACTTGTTGCGCCTGAAATACTGCTGACCTTTAAAATTAAATAAAATTTTTACTATTATTTTTGAAAGGTTCTTATTGTTTATTGCAATGTTTGAAAATAGTTTAAAAGGTTCTAAAATTAGTTCAAGGTAACAGCTTCCATGTGGTGCGTTGAAGCGATATCAACTGTTGTTAAAAAAGGGCAAGGCTGCAATTTCATGCAATACCACTCAGAACCACAAGGCAGTGCGATGAGTCACGGGGTCAGCACCAGAGCAACTCACTTTGGTTCTTTCATTTAAATAAAAACATAAAAGAGCAAGAACAACAAAAGAATAGTAGAGATGAATGCTGCCACTTTTATATCCTTCACCAGCCCACTTAAAAACCCCAAAATCCCATGGGCTCCACCAAATCTTCACCACCCAATAGGGAGTCCCGGCCTACACTTTTGGAATCACTGCGCTAAGATACTGTTTATCCAAAAATTAATTTAAGCTTGGGTACTATAGTGCAGTCGATTTTGACTTTTTAACACTTTCATTACCAAATCGTATCACTTGGTTTGATATTTTTAGTTCCAAAAGTGGATCAGAATTCAGTTCAGGGAGCACAGTGACCTTTTTGGCCGGTCCATAACAAGTAACTCATTAAGAACACATCCTTATTTATAACCGCAGACCCTCTTTAGTAAATGTGGAGTAGCTGAAAAGAAATATTAAAAGTTTAAAGGAGCACACATCTGAAACACTCAGTAGTGGCAAAATGCTGGCCCCTGGTGGTGAAAAGGTTAGTAGGGTAATGATAAACAGTACCTTTAACCTGCATTCTTTCCAATGGCCAGCAGGGGGCGACTCCTCTGTAAGTCTGATTGCATAGAAGTCTATGATGAAAAAAACACTGCTTTTCTCTTAATCTGTGACCTCAGTAAATGCTTTCCTCATGAGTTTATGGTAAACATTGTCCTAATCAGAGGAAACTGAACCGCCCTCTTGCCCAAATATGGTCGCCTCTGAGTGAAACTGAAACTCCTGGTAATTAAAAAGAAGCATACTTAAAAAAAATAAGCCCTCTTAAGAAACTTTGGCATGTTCACGCACACACCAAAAACAGCATTTTGAGCCATTGCTTAAGGCAGAATAAGAAGGTATGTGACTAATGGGGCAGAAAGCTCTTTGTGGTCCTCCAATAACAGGTTGTAGTCATAGTAACAAACCTAACATTTAGTGATAACAATGTTTAGTGTGATTACATATTAGCTTCCCGCTGCAGGGCGGAGCTCCGAAAGCTACTCGAGAACTCGAGCCGTGAGGAGCGCTCGTCCTCCAGGTGCCACCGAGACACCTCTAAAGAATTCTCTTGTTCTCCTCCTTCTTCTTCTTGTGTTTGTTTTCTTCTTCAGCTTCTTTTTATTTATTTTGGTTTATAGAGATGAATCCCTGCGCCGACCATTTGCATCAGCGTCACATCAACACATTGTGAAACCGGCCGATGACTCACTCTGACGCAGGTCCTTTTCGCATACCTCCCATCATCCTCTCCCTCTCTCCTCCCCCTCTGTCTCTCCACGCGCACGCACACAGACACACACACACGTGGACAGATTTTCTCAGGAGAATAACTCAGCTCATGAACACCCACGCCGTTTTGCTGCTCACAGTGGCAGCCCTGCTCAAACAACCACCCCTCCCCTCCCTGTCCTTCCACCTCCTCCTCCAGTGCAAGTCACTGCTCATGATGATGATGATGATGTGTTGCCGCGGCAACGGCAGGAGGTGGGCGGCTCCACGGGCGGTGGGCGGAAGCCAGCCGCTAAGCGGCGTGGGAGGGATCTGCCGAGTGCACCCATCACCCTCATTTTGAAAGGAGCAGGAATCCGACTGCTTTTGAGAAGGTGTGGGTGTTGGTGAATTATCGCCTCTCCTCCCTGCAGCTTCGTTAGGGATGTTTGTCTCCCCTCCTTCCTTGCTTCCTTCCTTCCCTTCCTCTCTTTTCTTCCTTTGTCTTCTGGTTTTAATGCCACATGCAGAGAAAACGCAGCTTAAACTTTGAGGGCTGCTTTGAGTTGGCAAGTTTTCATGAGTCCTGGAGTTGCTTTTTTAAATTTTTATGCAATATAGCAGAGAAAGAAAGAAACACGAAGCCAGGCTTTAAAAGAAGTTGTTTGTAGTTTTTAAATGACTAGATGAAGTGAAGAAAAGCAAAGCAGGACTGTCTCCAGTCTTTCTTGCTTCCCCTCCCCTTTAATGCAATTTCCCAGCCGTCAGGGTCACACTAGAGTCAATGTAAACACATCAGTATGTAACTTTTACCAAGAGTGAACGTTTGACTCGGTTTGATCATGAACATGGAAAAGATACACATGAATAAGCTGGTCTGAAAATCAGGTAAATACAGCCTCAATGTGAACAGCAACATATGACATAAGACATGTTTAGACATTATTTATCTCATAAAACAAACAAAAATGCAGAAACTGTGTGAAAAACTAAGTGCACCCCATGATTCAGCAGCTTGTAGAAGTACCTTTCACAGCAGTAACTTTACACTTGATCAGTGTGGAGGAGTTTTAGCCCGCTCTTCTTTAGGACATTGCTTCAGGTCATTGAAGTTCATGCACAGCTCTCTTAAATCCACACCACAGCATTTCAGTCAGGTTCAGGTCTGGACTCAGTGACTGCAAGGTGCCCAAATCAAACTAATCAAACTAGCAAAACATCTGCTTTATAGAGGTACTATGGGTTTTCACAGGACTGTTAGTGTATTTTGGCTCAGTTTCTGTTAAATAAATAATGACCCAGTGTACTATGTCATGTGCTGTTGTTCATTTGAGGTTGTATTTATCTCATTTTAAGTCCCGCTAAGGAGTATTTTCATGATGTCCTGCGTTGGTACAATCTTGTAACTTAAAGAGGTAGAGTGTGCCTTATTTTGCACGAGTTTTTTTTAATGTTTTAAGAGAAATTAAATAGGAGACTATAAGAAGCTGTTGTAACACAAACAAGCATATTACAAGCAGATTGTACCGTTAAAAGACTGAACTTCTTTATATTCTTTGGTTTTACAGTAAGTAGGAGGTCATCAGCGAGCTTGTATGTTCAAACCTCTTAGCTTAGAACGAATCCTCTGTCAGAAATGTGCACATGGTCTGGGACATGTTGGGGCACATTTAATCCCACTGATTTTATTTTTAGAAGCTCACGATTGTGCACTAAAACGCCTGCAAGGGCTGCAAAAGTATGTGGACACCAAAAGATGTCTTATATAGTCCAAATGAACAGCAGTAAAACAGCAGGTATTCATCTGCCGCTACTTGCTGTAAAAAGGGATTTTTTTTAACGTAAAAATGTTGATTCCTGTCAAGTAAAAACCCTGTGCGTGCAATTGGTCGGAAGTCCCCTTTGCTTCTGATCACATGGAAATCAAATTTTCAGGCCAAATTCATGAATGTTTCATGTTCAAGTGCACTGGAGGCTTTATTAGTCAGCTCTAATGTGTTTGTTTTATCCTCTTTTGGCTCTCTGGGTGGGTGGAGTTTAGCAAGATAGAGTCAGATAAAAAAAATGTTAAAAAAAAAAGTTTGAGAAAAGTAAAGCAAACACTTTCCGGTGAGTAATCTGCGGTGTAGGTCATTATTTAGTGATGGGCGTCGAGCTCCACCCACGCAGGCCGCAAAGGAGGTCAAAACGAGCATTAAAATGCTGCCTGACTCAGGAGGAACAGGCTGATAATCTGTAATCTGGTACACTCAGCTCTGCAGATTGAATTAGACCTGAGTGTGACACTGTTTGGGAAATTTCTGATGTGTTTTTCTGTGTTTTTTCTGCAGAGTGTGCATGTGGTTCCCAGATTTCTATCAATCTGTCACTTCATGAATGGAAAGAGGCTCCTACACGCCTGTAAGATAGTCTCACATCACTTTCTAACCGGGAGATGGCGCTGTAGATGTTTTTTTCAAGGACACACACACACACACACACACACACACACACACACACACATAAGGCGAAAGTCTGCAGAGAAAGCCCTGAATGTGTGCAACACCAAAGTGAACCACAAGGTGGCAGAGCAGCACAACGCATCAGTGACAGTCCTGCACAGGGCTGCTTTAAGCCTCTTTTTTCCTCACCACTGTGCAGAGACCTGATGCTTTAATATTTATTTAATCACTTTTATATCTCAGGTCTCTTCCAGGGTGTGTTTCCTTATTTTTGCTTATTTGTTTTTATTGTTTTAAAGTTCTACTTGTATCCCTGTAAGGTTTTATAGTTGCATTTTATGATATTTTTTATAGAAGTCTAGTTTTCATTTTTATTTATTACAGGTTACAGGCATGGACAACTGGTGGAGAGTGTGACTGTAACTCAGCTGAATGAATAGGAAGCTTAAAAAAAGGGAGAAGCAGAATATTTTAACATAAACTCAGTAACGTTTGCTTCGCTCGTTTTCAGTCCAGAATGTTTTGTTTCTGTGTTTGTTTGTTTGTTGGTTAAGCCATTTAACATTGAACCAAAAACACACACACAGTTTGACAGCTTAAAATGCTATTTTTTGCACCAATGAGGTGATTCCCAAAGAAATATTAATCTGAGAACTTGTTTTATGTCTGCATAGTGTGTAGTGTGTTCTTAAAAAATTTGAGGAAAATGGAGAAGTGGGGCACAAAAGAGGGATCAGGCGTAGCATAGCCCAGACCTCAACATTATTGAAGCAGTGTGGGATCATGTTGACAGAGAACAGAACAAAAGGCAGAAACATCCAAAGAAGAGCTTTGACTGTCCTTCAAGAAGCCTGGAGAACTATTCCTACTTAAAGACATGGCAAGAAAGCTAAGAGAGTTCAGACTGTACTGAAGAATAAAGATGGTCACACCAAATATTGACTTTCAAACTCATTACTTGTACAATCTCTGATTTTGCCTTATATACTGTATTTACATGTATGTTTGCACATGCCTCAATAAATCACTTCCTATTTTCCTACCAAAGTATAAAGAAATGAGGGGTGACTCAAGATTTCTGCACAGCAGTGTGAGTTATATAGCTGTGCAAGCTTGTTTATTTGAATCATCTGCACATGATTTCTGCAGGCCAAGCATGAAGACTCATGCACATGAGTCAGTCAGAAAATATTAGGCTTAAAATATTTCAATATAGTGATGTTTATGATATTACTTCACTTATATTGTGTTTATTCTTAAATTCTTGTATATGTGTTATGTGATTTCCAGCATTCGTGTGGCACAAATAATAACATTTCTACAACTAAGAGTGCAAAATGTGCATTTAACTTAAAATGAATGCAGACTACATACTTGTGACTCATCCGATAATTAGTTTTTTTCTACTTAACTAAAACTGGATTCCATTGTATGATAAAACATATACTTTCTGTCTCCCCAAAAGTTATGTCTGTGCTACAGCAGCCACAAACAAAGCCTACATGAAAAAGAAGCCTACGTGGATAAAGAAGAGTGGGCCAGTAAAAAATAAAAATAACATGAACAAATAGGTCTAAAATGTATCATGCTTAACATAAAGCAGTTCAAATAAATAGAAAACGTGTAGTAAAACAATAAAATAGGAAATTAATTGAATAAACAATAATAAATGTAAATAAAATACAATGAAATGCTTTGTAAAAACGTGACGTAATACAATATAGTGGCCCTTTAAAGTAAAAGAGCTAAAAGGATTAACTATAATAGATTAAAAACAGCCATTAAATGTAGTAAATTCAAAAGTATGATTGTTTTCGTTATTTATTGTGTTTATAAAGACAAAAATATCGAAACTGTGCCTAAAAACATACAAAAATGGGCAAATACTTATAAATGACATAAACTTGTTCGCTAATTACGGGAAGTGATGGAGATAACGGGACCAAAACACGATTCACAACCGTGGGCGGGACTGTTAGGACTTCTCACCAATTAGGTGCGCCCATGGGTCAAGCCCGTCCAATCACAGCTCACGCGGTGGATAAGGTTGGTTGTATCCCGCTGGGGAGCTTTTTTCCGCTGTTGAGTCAGTGGGAGAACCGTTACACGACCGATACAGCGGCGCTCTCACCGGGAACCGACCTCTACGATCCCTCCACGCGGTTCTATAGTAACTCCACTGCACAGTTCGTCTGTACCACAGGGCTGAAATGTTACATCTTCGGTCTACAGTAACCCTAAAGGAGTTATTCCAGACTCAGCTGAAGCGGCCGCTCACACGTAGGGTCGGCGTTAAAGCAGCACCTGCTCCCGCCGCCTGCTTCAGCACCCTGAGTCCTGATGGACGGTCACCGGGTAGAGGGCGGTTTTCTGGCTGGAGAGCCCCTCAGCACTTGGCCAGGAAGCACGCATTGAGAGGCTTTTGCTCCAATGACTCCACCGGCAAGGACTCTTCAACAGAGAAGTGAGTAACGTTAACAGTAGGACGAACTCAATAGAAAAAAAGGAGCATTTTTAATGGGGCGGTAAACAATCCTGACATCAAGGTGCCTTTACCTTGAGGCTTCTGATTTAAAAAAATAAACTAGTTTTACTTACAGAAAGTACGCGGAATTTAAGAAATGCGTCTAATTTCTCATTGTATTTAAAAATTAATCACTTTACGTATAACACTTGCACAAAAAGGGACGTTATTTGAATTTAGGTTTTTTACAACGTAGTTTGGTGCGAAGGGTCTAACGCGCATCACGCGAAGTAGCTAGCTGCTAGCTCGGATGCTCATTTAGCTCAGCCTGCTAAAGGCTGGCAAGGAGGGTTGAGTTTGCCGGGGAACTGTGCAGGTCAGGGGCTGTAGATGAGGGGGATTATGGGTGCAAGTGATCGGTGATAGTGCGCCCACCTACGGGCTCAGGCCAGTGGAAAGCTCCGGTAGGTAGCGATGGAGGTAAATCCAGCAGCCATTATCGGACAAGTTTAATATATCTAAGATGACTTAGTAGTTCCAGTATGAACCTTAAGGATGTTTTGTGGCATTAACTTGCTCTAAGCGGGTGGCGATTAGTCAGAATGTACTCAACGGAAACTGGTGGAAAGGAAGTAAATTTGAGACGTGTCCGAGAATGGAAGCACATGCAGTGGGGCAAGCCTGATATCGTGACCAGCTGCTGGAGGCTGATGCCTTCATCCATCCAGACTCAGGGAGGCATCAGCCGGCACCAGGTTACCCAGCCGGGTCAGTTTAAACGAAAAATTAAGGACAACTGAAGCTGGTTAATGTTTGGATCTCCACTCCACACCGAGCATCAGCTCCATGCATATTCAAGGTCACCCACTATTGCTTCCATAAGAGTGCAGCTACTGACCTGAATTAATACACTTATATCATTAATTATAAAGCACAGTGTATGTCACATGATGAGAGGCAAAGTAAAGCAAGTCTAAAGTATAGAGGCTTGTTTCTGCCTCTGGGGGGGAGAAAAAAAATATA